CTATCACACATCCTTTGCGTAGCCACATCAGGGCTGGTACCAATTCTTCCCATTCAAGTTCTATATACCTCACGCCTTACTTTTAGGTTGTCATTAACTAAGGTACAGGAGTGTACTTGCAGTCCAATGTTAATTTCTTTATTAAAGCTCCTGGGAAAATTCCATGTTATTAAAGTCATCTCTTTGATGATTCTTTATGGACCAAGTGTGCAGATGGAAGAAAAAAATATCTGTCATTCTGTTAATCACATCAGGCACTACAAAGACTCCATGGGAATATGCCTGAGAGGTATAGTCCAAATTCAAAAGAATCTGTTCTTCATTTAAAACATTCTGAATATATTGTTCATATAGGAATGGGTGACATCCTTGGAGCTATATGAATAAGATGTTTCCGATGGTGAAAAGGACGAACAGAAAGGTGTCTAAGAGTAGATGCAACAGACACAGGAGCCTTTCTGTTTTCTTGCTTTGCTTTGAAGTCAGGTGATAAAGCTGGGGCAAAGCTGGGAGAATCTCCACGTAGGTTCTGGAGAAGTGGGGGTGGGTGACTATGGACTCCTGTGGCTTGAACAGGATGGGAATCTGTCAGTGTTTCCTTGGGGTATACGCCTTCTGACTGAGGCAAAATCACATTTGGAAATGTAGTCCTCCTTTTCCCCATTGGGATCTGTGCTATACTTTGGTTTTCTTTACCTTTATTTGATTTCCCCTCAAGATTCTTAGGTTTGGCTGAATTTGAGCCCTGCATGAAAAATTAAGTTTGCATAGTTTATATTATGTACATAAACTAGTGATTTACATTGATTTACACATGATTGGTGCCTAATTTATTAATCAGCACACAGTATGTAAATGTGCTGAAAAGAAATCAAGATTTTAAAATAAGGTTTCCACAATCTCCATAAACATTTTCCCTGCTGTAAATGTTAAACCTAAACCTAACATTAACACCAGCTTCCTTGCCAAGAGGAACGTGATGTACATTGCTCGGTAAAAACAAATTCTTTCTTGAATTTCAGTTGGTGACATTTGAGCTGCATAGCGACATGCAAATGAGGAGAGTTTACTCTTCTCCTGCTAGCATGCACATAAATGTAAACTCCATTTTGCATTTAGTGAGATGTTTACAGATATTATGCCAACCATGATGGAAAATTTACATCACTAGGGCAAGTACAGCCTTTGGAGGAGAAATATTTTGAATACTTAAGAAAGAAGAGGGCTTCTCAAATTAGTTTTGTGTTTCTTAACTCAGGCTCTTATCTCCCCATTGTCTGGTCTGTTTAACATTTGGCTTCAAAATATTGTTAGTTCATGTAGTTCAGATATGGAATTGAACTTACATTCTTTTAAAAAAAAATAGCTATTGAAAACCAAGACTAAATTGGGGCCAACAGCTTATGAGTGCAAAGATAAAATGAGGCTATGTTTATTCCCATAGAACATGGTCCATAAGCACATTTCTTTCAAGCAAATTAATACAAAAATGGAAAAGCAGGGCTACGTGTCTTTTTGAATGAGGCACAGATTTTTCTAAAAAGAAATCAGTACTCGTTTTTTTCCTTTTTAAGGTTAAAACATCTTCTAAATTTGTCTTATACATAATTGTAAATATAGTATCTCTAGAGATAAGATTTTTTTAAAGTACACACATACACACATACATTTATATATATATTATTTTTCCACCAGAAAAAAAAATCAAGGCCTATGGAGAATAAAATGAGAAATTCAGGGAGAAGAGCAAACAGAGTTAATGCAGAGCTGAAAACTGCGACTCTGAGGTGTGGAAGAAGGTAACTGCTGTGTAGGAACTACAAATAATCCCATGCTGAAAAGGTTAGTGACTGTGTGCGAAGGAGGTGCGTCCATCCTGGGAGGAGAAACAGATGCTTGTTTCTGTCCTCCAAGGACAGGAAAAATCACGAGTAGTTTTGCAAGGTCTCTATGGATAGCCCAAGTTATCTGACTACATTAGTAAAAGAAAATGCTCAAGTCTGACTTGAAAGAGAAGGCAGAGTCCATAGAACGGTCCTTCCTGGAGAAAACACTTCATCTACTTGTCCGTAGACCTCACCTCTTTCAGGGCAAGACCATTCCTCCAACAAGGCAAACCTCCTCATGAACAGCTTTGTGGGTAGAATAACTATGATTCGTCAGTTGTACAACACAGGCTAGCTCTCAGTCTTCAGGATTCGTTATTTCTGTGATTGTAAACTAAAATTCTAAATTTTGTTTGAGTAGTGAATTTTTCACCCTGCATGCAAAGGACATTAGCTATACTTGCTGTTGGGATTAGCTAAAGCTTTTCACTGCTCTCAGAACTCTGTTTCCAGCCACTTGATGCTGCATGGGCATTGCAGCTTTGGTTACCAATGGACAGGACTCCCGAAGCAATGCCAAGCACTAGATTCCAAGAAGCCTCTAGTTGAGACTTGATTTCTTGGTGTAGGTGGTTTTCTTTCAATGTTTCTTTTTTCCTGACATTTCTCTAAACTTTGTATTTTTGCATTCTTCCCATGACTTAAGAGACATTCTCAAAACCTGTGCAATTTCTGGGGCCAATATTTTCTCTGAAACAGGAGCAAGGTAGACCTTTTCATTTTGTTCTTGGTACTTTTTTGTTGTTGTTTTTAGTTGGAGATTCTACTGGAGATACAGGCAAACACCACGTTTTTAATGTTTAATTATGTTTAATATATGCTCATGATACTAAAACCAAGAGAACAAATGGTGCTAATGTGGTAAAGACATTTCTTTCAACAAAGAACCTCTTCCCTTCAGAAAACCAAGCAATGTCCTCATTATTACAGGGTGGAGACAGTGAGAAAGCCAGGCCGATGCAGGTTGAAAGTTGGCCACAAGGATGGTTCCTGAAACTGGTTGTAAATGACATCTGAATTGCCTGCGTTTGTTCTCTTCTTGGAATCTTCAAGGAGCATGCATTCTTCTAAAGTTTCCAGTTAAGGATGTGGCTGCCTATTCAACACATGAAAGACATTTGCCTTCCAAGATGATAACCTTTTATGCCCGTACTTAGACAACCAAACTGTCAGAGAAATTGCTGATTGTCAGAATAAACCCATGGTGCACAGGACAGCGTCTCACTTCTCCTCTGAGTTTAGTGACTCTTGAATGAGGTTTTCTGTGCTAGGTCAGCATCTGTCATAAATTTTCTTACCTATCCCCCAAGCTCTCGATTTTTCCTTCTGTTGTATGACTAAACTGCAATATTATGAAAGAAGGCTCTGGAAAAATCTAAAACAAATAGATTCCTCTCAAAGAGATGAAAAACTCTGCTTAGAATTGTTTTCTTCCTTTCCGTCCTTCCTTCCTTCCTTCCCTTCTTCCGACTTTCCCCCAGCTATAAGCTTTCTGTTTTGCATCACAAGACAGTTATTCTCAAGGTTCAGAGGCTTGATTAGTGGATGTAATTTGGCTCTGTGGGGGTTACACTTGTTGATGAGCTCAGTAAGAATCCTGTGTCTTTGCATCAGCTGAACCACTAAGTGAGACCAATGGTTGGCTCCTTGAAAAACACATCCACTTCCAGAGAGCCAGCAAAACTTTCCTAAGAAAATCGTGGTGATATCACGCTTTGTGATACTCCTATGATTTCTGCCTAAATTATTTACAAGTTGCCCAGCCCCCTGGGTTGAGACATTAGCTCAGTTGTCAATGTTCTTGTTAAGATGACTCTCGCACATGGATGGTGGCTACCATGCAGTTTCTAGGGGCCTGGTTTGATGGTCATGGAAACAATGGCAGGGAAACAAAAGGAAGTTGATGAGGGCAGCCAAAGAATTAGCCTAGAACTAAAAGGCAAAAATCTGCCAAGGAGCACCAGGAGTGACTTTCCCTCCGTTACGGTCAATGCTTCCTGTTAGACTGACCTCAGGCAGGGACTTGGCATCTGCTTACACTCCCTGCCATAATCGCTCTTTCTTTTATCTGAAACTGAACTAAGCTCTACTCAGAGGAATGTGGGGGATAAGTCCAGGAAGGAGGCCAAGCAGGGCTGCTGAGGATCTTCGCAGAGTCTGTTCCTCTTCCACTGGGTGTTAATCCATGGAGAGGGTCCTTCTCTGGGAATTGACTGAGCACATGCGGCTGGCTCCTGCAGCAGAGTAGAACCAGGCCTGTAAAATGCCAGGGGATGCCGGGATCCCTCAGCCTTCTGAAATAAGTGTGAAACCAGAAACCTTCTCTCTTAAGTCATCTCATCCATGTCATTGGCCTGTTTTACAATTTGATTACCCCAACGATAGGCACTTTCATTTACAGTGATATTCTGAGTGGCTCCCAACTGGGTTCTGAGGATGGAACTAGGAGGGATATGGGGTCCTGCCCTCGGAAGGGGCACAGCTTGGTTTGAATACACACTGATGTCAGGTGACAGCCATGGATGGGGCAGGGACTCAACTCTGCTTCCCTCCCCACCAACTCTCCCAGCAACTTGTTATGGCTGCATCTCACAAGTACAATGCAGGACAGTATCTATAGCACAATGAGTCTATGTACACATGGACCATTCCCTTGGCATGCTTTAGAGAGAGACACACACACGCTCACACACATGTGCACCCACGTGGGAGTGAGACTTGAACACGCACGCACAGTGGAGAAAACCAAAATGACACTTCCTACCATTTGCGGTATGTCTAGTGCTCTGGGGGCCGTGGAGCTGGGAGTACTGCGAGTACTGGGGGTTACTGGGAATGGGGGCGGGTCCGGGGAAATGGAACACACTGCAGGGAGAGTGGGTGGTCTTGAAAGCTGGAGAGAGAGTGGTGGCAGGTGAGAGCCCAGCCCAGGATCCCACTGAGAGTCAGCAATGGCTATGAGTCAGCTCAAAGGAAAAACAGAGGAAGATTATGTAAATATAAACACCAAAGGCAAAACCTATTTTTTTTTTTCCTCACAGATGGAAAAAAAAAAGATGAAGGAAGGAAGGAAGGAAGGATAAAGTGTGCAGGGGGAGTTAGTGTCCACCTGGTTCTTCTGTACTTGTCCTGTATATAGATTTTTTTTTCACAACATCCGGATGTCCTCAGCAGGATGTAGTCTTTGCACTGCACTTGCTTGCTTAGTAGACATACACACATCATGCTAGCATTTTTCCCACTCTGAATTACACTCCAATTTTTATTGATAGACCTTAAAATTATTTTTAAATGCTGTATGTTCTTCTTGATTTTCTTAGCTCCCCTATCAGTTATAAACACACAAAGTTGTGAAATAAACGGCCTCCCCCCATCTCACTCTTTCTCTCTCTCTGTATCCCGTGTGACGCTTTTTTGTGTGTTTTTTTTTTAAATTATATTTAAACTTTTTAATTCTATTAACATTTGCTGAGAAGGCAGAGCAGAGATGCTGCCAGCAGCCACAGTGGTACGGCCAGGCTGATGGATCCATTTATTCCTCTCACCGAGCCAGGTCCTGCAGAGGGGAAGAGGAGAGAGAAGAGAGAAGAGTTACATCCTGCAGCCAGTTATGCTCGCTTAGCTGCTGCCACTGCCGCTGCTGGTGTCAGAGGCGGGGCCCAGCCACGTATGGGGGTCTCCATGAGTGCAGCCCACAAAAGGCCCTAACCCTTCCTCAGAGTCTTCTCCACCCCAAGCTATAAGTTTCTTAAGTGGTAGATTTGGTGGAAACACCTCTAATATGAAAAGCTCTGGTTGGGAGAATCCCCAGGCTGGCTGTTCCCAGTGGATCTGGAGGTGCTGAAGGTCCCTGTCCCCCCCGCCACTCCCCCGCCCTCCCGCCCGTCTCCTCTTGAACACTCTGTTCTGGTCAGCACACGTTGAGATTCCAAGCACTGGTGTAGCTGCCGCAGGAGCCAGACCTCAGCTCTTCCTGCTGCTTCCTCATGACCTCTCCATCAATGAAACATGCAGCAAACCAGTGACTCTGGTATCTCAGGAGAGAATGATGGGATGGGGAAGAAGATAGTTTTAAAATAAAACGAATGCCCGTGTGTTACCTTAGAAGCAGAGAACTGCCAACATGGCGTACACTTGCAAGGGGCATCTTGCTCAAACTACTCATTTGTCAATTTGAAAATCAGATACCCAACACAAATTAGGCAAACCTCGAGAAGAGTGGAAACAAGTCTAAACCTGGAGCAGAACTGGAATTTCAGGCTGCCCGGGCCTGGCATGGGGTTTGGAGTTTCCTGCTGCTGCTAAATGTGGACATGATGAGGGAGATGTGATGTGGGCCTCCAAGGGAGAGTGGGGTGGAGAGGAAGGTGGAGAAGGGCGGATTGTTCAGTCTCTCTTGGAAAGAGAAGGTGCGAGTTGGGATGTGTAGGCCCATGCAAGACCTTGTCTCCTATGCTTTCCACGTTTCAGTTTTTCCTTTTCTATAGTTTTCCGGAAAAAGTAAATATTTTAGTATTTTTTTTCATCAGATGCTTTTATAACCACACACTTCAACAAGATGTTCAAAGGAGTAAGTGGTGTGACTAGACTTAGCAGCTATTTTGAGGTTCTGAGGACATTTATCCAAGTGTGTGTGTGTTTATACTATGATGTCTTTCAAGTGCAATGGAAGTGTCCTCCAGGAAGTGATACTCTCCCCCAGTATTATCTACACACACACCAGACCAGAGGGAATAAACAGGAAAAAAGCATTCAAGATTGTATGCCAATCTACATTTTATGTAAATAATGAAAACTACCACAAAATGAAGCATAACCTACAAAAGAATGCTGTTGATGATTTACACGGCCACGGCCATGAGGCCAGTGCTCTCCTGGAGGGAGCAAACTCTGATGGTCGTGTGAATGACCATGGTGAGCTACCGGAGGCCTGTGGAGCCTCACATGCACTACAGGTTTGCCCCACATGCAGGCAGAGGCACTGGGGTTTGAACAGGTGTCTGGCTGCATGGCCCTTGTCTATCACCACTACACAGTGGCATTCCGCCATGAAGATGAGCCTCTTCATGCTGCTGAGTCTCTGGTCAGACATTCAGCAAATGAAATGTGGGTTTGACTAAACAATGGCCTGCAAGAATATAACCTACAAGGAAACATCCAGTGTATCCACAAAAATGACTTCCAATCAAATAAAAAACTATGGACCAGAATGACATTTTGGCAATCTAGTACAAGCATTTAAAACACTGCTTAATAAAAATATGAACGCATTCAAATGCTAATCAGCAGAAGTACTGTGCAAAAGGCTATTTATCTGTGAAGGAATGGAAATAGAAAAAAGTTACTTAGCTAATTCTCTAACTTTCTAAATGGCTACAGGATGTTAACGAAAAGCACGTTAGTTACCTTCTTGAGGAGTTCAAGATGATTTAATCTGCATACAGCACCTGCCACAAGACAGCTGCCTCAGCGCTGCAGGCCAGGTGTCCTCAGGTTTAGCCCAGAACCCTTCCTGATCCCCTATCTCATGTCTTCCCCACTCCCCATTTTGGGGCTTTCACAGTCTGTGAGTGGCAATGGCCCTGGGTGTCTGTCCTGCAAGCAATGCTAGTTTCCCATGTTTTTCATCCTCTGTGTGCATTCAACGGCATGAGATTCTGCACTCATGCGCTTATGTTAATGAGTGCTTCAACACCGGGACACAGTGGAGTTAAAGCACTGTGTGGTCCGCGTTAGAGTACTGAGAAACATGTTTTTTTTTTAGGAAGAATCCAATTCTGCTTATTTCATAGTTTCATTTCTGGTATGAGGATAAGGTAGGTTTCCTTTTTTCCCCTACATCCTGGAGCTGAGAAATCTTACCTCATTGGAATTACCATAACTATCTGACAAATGCAAAGCCTCATCATTGAGAGATACGTGCATATGACGCTCATGGGACATAACTATTAAGGGAAAGTAGTCACAGATTCTGAAACGTTTTGCACCAAAGTAACATCTTTCAAGTACATGTTTCTCGAACTTTTTGAAGGACCCACACTGTGGCCTGGATAAACATACTCATGGGTAACATTCTTCCTAATTTCCATAAGCCTGTACCTATGAATGTATATTCTATATGATGCTCATGCACGCATTTATGACACAGGCATGTATTATCAGACCTTTAGTACTCATAATTCTGAATTAACTGTTATTTGCACTTGCTACTCTGTTACTATAGGGAATCTTGGTATGGGTAAGTTGGTGATGTTTAATTTTTTCCTAGATAGTATTGTAGTTGAAATACATATTTTTGTAACTGATAAAAATATCTCTAACCTATAAATTATGAAGTGCTCTCATACAGCCATTGTGCTTCCATGATTTGGCTTTTCTGGTTGTTTTTCAGAGTAACTAAATATACTTGAAAAAAAATGGAAGGGCAAACAGGTGATGAGTGGGGAACCATCACAAGTGTGTTTGCAATTAGAGACACGTGTAACTACATAGGAGACTACTTCAGTTAATGGCCAGTTCAGAGTAGAATCATCAGTTAAGTCATTAATTATGTTTCAGTTCATAGTTCTAAAATTTCTGCTTATTTGTGGAAATGCAAATGATAAATCTTATTTCCCACACCAGATGGCCAGGCTCAGCAAGTGCTTTCATACACTGACAGATATAATGAAAGCAAGAGTCTGCAAACATAAATTAGCTTTAAGAATAGACGGGCAAATAGAGCCACAATTCAAAAATTTGCTGCCTGTTTCTCATATAACAGACAAAAAAACATATCTTGGTATTTAACCACATTTCTATATGTGTGTATGTGTGTGTGCACTGATGTGTTAGGAATGTGGTAAACACGCACTGAGTTGTAGCATTGTCATCATCACCCCGGAAGTGTGGATCACAAAAGGGGGTAAAATCTCCAGCCTCAGGGAGAGGTGTTGGTTTGCGAACTGGGTCGAGGCTTTTAATGACTGTACAGCTGCACCGGGGCAGAGGTGACGATTCTCGACTCTGGAGTGGAAAAGTAAGAGTCTCGGGGCTGAGGCTGGGTGGTGCTCTGTCAGGGCGATGCTCACACAGGGAGCAGGCGGCCTTAGCTGTGATGCCTAAAACACCTTGAAAACTGAGAAGTACAAGTGTGAGCCAGAGCTCATTGATAACATCTTTCAATAAAATATCAAACCAAAGACACAGGAATTTTTCAACATCTACTTTAGTAATCATGCTTGGAGACACTTTGTAACTCAAGTTTGGCCATCACTTTTCTTTGGCTCCTTTGGAATTCTTAAGGGTCATTTTCTGAATTTACTACTAGATCCTTCCAAACAATCATGAACTGTGGCCTGTGCATCCTTGGGCAGTGCGCCCTACTCCTGGGATAGGGTGGGAATGTCCAACTTTGAGGGGCAGGAGAGCATTGGTGTGGCACTGCAGAGGCAAATGCAGACTAGACTCTAACTTCCATCCATTTATACAGCAGGTGAATTTTTAAGTTGATGAGTTTGTGTGGTGCATACATGATACGACTACAACCAAATGGCCCTTGGCAGAAAAAAAAGAAGCTTCGCACCCTTGCAAGGAATGCAGTTCAATCACAATGTTATCCCTGTACAGAGGTCAGTCAAAACAACAGACATTCCAGAAGAGTCTGAATTCTTTAGGGATGATTGGATAACTGAGGATATAACAAAAATCTAAACAATTTCTAATGCAAATATCTTAACTAAATCCAACAAATTAAAACAATAATCTGTAGAATCTCCAAAATATCTTCTCTTGCAGTATTTTCTAAATGTGTCCAAGGCGCCTGGGTGTCCTGGGAAGCCATTTATAAAGGGGAGCTCTGTGATAAGCCCGACTCTGGTGCCACCTGCTGTCCATCCTCTGCCAGTGCAGCTTTCTCTGCTGCAGGAATGAAGGAATGTCTTACTGTTCCCTGCTAGAGCGATTCCTCTCCTAAGTGACAAAATGTCCGTGATCTCTGAGGCTTCCGGACATTGGAATGACCGAAGTGGATAAGAATTTGTTTTGGTGATTGAGAATGATTTGGGTTGTCTTGCGCCTTCTGAGACCCAAGAAGGAAGATACGTTTTTACAAGACAATCGCCAGCCGGAAGGGGACCACAGGATTTATAGGGGGCCTATGTAGTCGCACATGTGGCATGACTCTAGGGACGAGTCCTGTTGGGGATGGCGATCTTCTGAGATGGTAAGGGGGCACGCCATAATAAGCAAGTGCTTGCGTTTCACGGAAAGTTTGGCCTGGTTTGTACTTCTTAGGTATGCTAGAGTGTAACTTGCGCAGTTCCAAGGACTTAAAACATCAGTAACCACCTAAAGTCAAAAAAAAGTCATGGGTTGGGTGAAGCACTTTTTGAAAAACAAAGAAGTTCACAATTTGGAAGAGAATAATACCAACTGTGGGAGAGAAACGACTGAACTAAGTTCAAGCGTACAAGACCACAATATGCTACTTCGAAATAGAAACACATAGAAGAAAATTGGAAATGATCACCATACCTTGTTGCTTGAAGTGCACGGTGGTGCCAATTTCTAAAAAAGAAACATTCAGCAAAACAAACAAACAAACAAACAAAAAACCACTTTATCACTTGTGAATAAAAGGCAGGCAATTTGGCACTCTCCACTGAAAGGACAATGAAACACGAGACAGAAAGAAATTGAATAGAAATGGATGCAGAAAGAAGCAGAAAGACAGAGATGTCCTGCTTGAAACAACTGTTCTGAGGTTGGATATGGCAAAAAGTTGACTGCAACTACAAAGCCTCAATGCTACATGTCACGTGGGCAGGGGGTGAGGACAAGAGCTCTGTCTAATGGAGGGGGAACTTGCGCTTGATTGCAAGATGCTGGAAGCGTGGCATGTCTCGTGGCCCCGTTCTTATTCTGCCATTTTTGTCCCTAGTTCACCCTCCTCAAGCCAATCCAACTTTCCTTTCTTCTTCTGACAGGTTCCATTCACTCTGGCTCGAAAACCCTTCCACCTGCTGTTTTATCTGCTAAGAATATTCTTCGCCCGGAAATTGAACTTCTTACTTCACAATCTTCATTCATACTCTGGCTGAAATGTCACCCACCCCGGGACTCTTGCATCGCATCCTCCACAGTAAGTAACCCTTTGTTCTGGTTTACAAATCTACAAAGCGCTTATCTGAACTTGGTATCATGGAAGTCTTTCATTGGCTTCCATGCTGCCAGTTTGTCCGTTCTATCAGAAAGCAAAAGCGTGCCGCCTGTTTTCACAGCACGTGTCTCACCAGGCTCAAAGCCCTCATGCCTGGCAGGTAGTTAATGCATATGTGACAAATGTATCAATTAACCTTAGAGTTGGTGGAGTACGTCTTGATCAAATACTTGGATTTTCTTTTCACTATCCTTTTTAAAGGAACCACAATAATCTGGAATCTTTAAAAGTAATATGTAAAAGTTGCATGCACATACTTTGAATCTCAGGACCAACTCGATGGTTGCTTGCTCTGGGATCTCACACTGGCTAGAGGACACAGCTTGTCCTCTGTGACCACCGGTATACATCCCTGCATTCCCATGGAGGTGAAACGCCTAGCCCCCAGCTACATGTGAGGGGAACGTCTGGCCACCCGAACGTCCTGCTTGGAATGCGTTCGGCCTGTTTCTTGTGGCTTGCGAGACAATGATCCAGACCCTGCATGTGCGTTTCCCCGACATCTTACAGACCCACAAGTCCTCCCTGGGGCTGTGTGGGGCCACATGTCCTCTGCCACGGCGCTCATGACACAGTGCCGGTGCTTCCGGAAGTCCTCCCATTCAGCTTGCAGGAACTCTGCCTTCCTCGCGCACAGAAAGCGGAGTCCTGTTATTGTAAGCTCTGCCTTCCCTCACTGCACTCGTCTCGGGTTTAATTCAAGGGTATCTGTCTGATGCTTGGGTTAGTCAGTGTTCTTCAGGGAGCTCGGAGTTCACCGGCTGAGACCATCACTATGTAATGCCGAAGCCCAGCCAGTGCGTGGCAGGCCCTTTGCATGCACCACGGCTAAGAAAGAAGTTCTAGAATCACAAAACTCTAAGGAAAAGGAACATAACCCCAGAACACCTGTGACCTACAAAAACAGGCAAAACAAGAATGACAATCTGACTAAATTCCTTATTATCTGATTTTGCACAAAGAGGGTCTCTAGTCAAATCTACAAGGTTTCCAAACTTCCAGGATTACCAAAGTTGGCCATAAGAGACCCTCAAAGATGGCTGCATGTTTTGACATATTTACGATGGGTACAAGGAAGGGTACAACTGCCCTAGTGCTGAAGTCCAAGCATTTTTGCTACGATTTAGCGTTAGCAAAACTGGTGCCATCTGGGCTACTGCCAGACTGGACCTGCAGATAAGGATGGTTCCTAAATGGCCTCCCAGCCTCAATTTATGTGTGTGTGTGTGTGTGTGTGTGTCCTTGTGTATGTATGTGATGAGGGCTAAATGAAGCTCAGGTACACTTCTGGCACCTTCCGTGATGTTCCTGGAGTGCATTAATGACTAAAACACTCCGCAAGTTCACACAGAAGGCTTAAGGAAGGATTTTGCTCTGCCAACAATTGATGCCACGCTCACCCCAGAAAAGAAGCCAGGCTCTGCCGAGATCCAGCACCTTGGTCTGTGCTGTGGGCAGCCTTTTCCCCCACTGCACCACCTTAATGTTCTTTCGTGGACCTGTTGTGGTGCCTTTTCAGCATGAGCCATTGCCTTGGAATGGGAGAGAGGCCTGGCGGAGGAGGAGGTCACACTAATGGGAGCGAGAGGAGGACCAGAGGCAGAGCTGTGGGTGCAGCTCAGGACTTCAGGCCGTCTGGCCACAGTCCACTCCTTTCTTGTGCAGTACCTGGCCGGGCCGCTTCAGTGCACGCAGACCCCTCTGCTTCCCATGTGACCCCCAAGCCAGGGACGCAGCCCAGGACTGACTGGAAGAGCTCCGGTCACGTGCAAAGTGCAGCTCTCCTATTTCTGCATCATCTTGTGTCATCTTCGAGGACATCATGGGCCGCAGAGGGTGGATCCTTTTTACCCAAAGGATCCAAGTCGCTGTGGGACTGCCCGCTGGCAGAGGCCATTGGGTACCCCCAGCTTCACTTTGGGTCTTGCGTTTCTGTGAACAGTTCTGAGCGTTGGTCTAGGAACCTGAAACGGGGAGGTCAGGTCATGAATGCATCAGCTGGACAATGTCTAACGTCTGGGCCCAGCGCAGTAGCCTAATGGCTAAAGTCCTCACTTTGCATTCGCCAGGATCCCATATGGGTACTAGCTAGTATTGCAGCGGCCCAGTTTCCCACCCCTGCTCCCTGCTTGAGGCCTGGGAAAGCAATTGAGGATGGCCCAGAGCCTTGGAACCCTGCTCCTGCATGGGAGATCCAGAAGAGGTTCTGGGCTCCTGGCTTCAGATCAGCTCAGTTGCAGCTATTGTGGTGACTTGGGGATTGAATCAATGGATAGATCTTCCTCTCTGTATATCTGACTTTTTTATCTTTAATAAAAAAAGAAAATGTCGGGCCCAGCGCGGTGGCGCAAGTGGTTGGGGTCCTCGCCTTGCACACTCGGGATCCCATATGGGCGCCGGTTCTAATCCCGGCAGCCCCGCTTCCCTTCCAGCTCCCTGCCTGTGGCCCGGGAAAGCAGTGAGGACGGCCCAAAGCTTTGGGACCCTGCACCCGCGTGGGAGACCCGGAAGAGGCTCCTGGCTTCGGATCGGCATAGTATCGGCTGTTGCGCTCACTTGGGGAGTGAATCATCGGACGGAAGATCTTCCTCTCTGTCTCTCCTCTCTGTATATCCGCCTTTCCAATGAAAAAATAATAAAAATAAATCTTTTAAAAAAAAAGAAAATGTCTAACTGCTCCCGCCTCAGCTTCATCGTCTGAAGAATGGGTGAATGTGGCGCTCATAAATCCGTGCCCCAGGAGCGGGCATCTGGCACAGGGCACGGTTGCTGCTGGGATGCCGCCAGCTGATTTCAGTGACTGTGGGATTCAGTGGTGGCTCCACTCCAGATCTAGCTTCCTGCTCATCCTGGCAGGGCAGGACTCCGGTAGCTGGGCCTGTCCCACCCTGTGGGGCACACAGTTCCAGGCTGCCAGGAGATGGAAAACCTTTCTCTGTAAATTCTATCGCAGCAATGTAATACAGAAAACATGAGCAAATTCTGTCCCACACGAGTGATTGGCAACACACCGACAAGGCTGCGTTCCACTCAGCACGGGACCAGCAACGAGCCGTCGCTCCCCGGAGAGCCACTGCCATGGACTTGGCTTACAATTGCCCATTCTAGTTTTGTTTTAAGGTTTATTATTTTTATTGGAAAGGCAGATATACAGAGAGGAGGAGAGAGAGAGAGGAAGATCTTCCATCCAATGATTCACTCTCCAAGTGGCTACAATGGCTGGTGCTGTGCTGATCTGAAGCCAGGAGCCAGGAACTTCCTCCAGGTCTCCCACGCGGGTACAGGGTCCCAAGGCTTTGGGCCGTCCTCAACTGCTTTCCCAGGCCACAAGCAGGGAGCTGGACAGGAAGTGGGGCTGCTGGGATTAGAACCAGTGTCCATATGGAATCCTGGTGTGTTCAAGGTGAGGACCTTAACTCCTATGCTATCGCGCTGGGCCCGAGTTGCCCATTCTAAATGGATCTCTCACATGAGGCACAGACACTCCATATTCATTATATGGAGAGTAAATAAAATGATATAAAACAATACCAAATATCTTACTTTCTGAATATCAGCATAATATGTTTGTTTGAAATATCCTTAGAAAGCAAACTAAACAGCTAAAGTTTTACGTATGCTTTCCTGTTTCTGTAACAGGTGAACTTCTTTGTACAACGCTAAAGATGTTAAAATTTGAAATTCTGTTTGTTTGCATAAGAGACTGGAGTGCTGCTGTTGTGCGTACTCTGCTATGGCAACAGGCTCTTTGAAAACGTGGTTTCGTGCTGCCATCTTGTGGTCACAGAGAGACATAATTTTATACGCTCTTGAAAACCACCACCTTTGTCCACAAGGTGGCAATAGTGGGAGAAACTGTCGGACTCAGGAACTGGAAGGAATGTTATTTGTTAAGGGGTCCTTCCTGTCATTGGAGGTGAAAGGAAAAACAAACAAACAAAAACTTAATTTGGTCATTAATAAGTTAAAACGATCTGCTGTTTGTAATGAAAAGGTGATCTCATGTTTTTTATTTGAAACAAAATCACCACAATTTCTATTCAAACATTACCTGGGGGCCTGGTGCGACAGCCTAGCAGTTAAAGTCCTCGTCTTGAATGCGCCAAGATCCAGTATGGTAACCCGGCAGCCCCGCTTCCTGTCCAGCTCCCTGCCTGTGGCCTGGGAAAGCAGTCGAGGATGGCCCAAAGCCTTGGGACCCTGCACCCGCGTGGGAGACCTGGAGGAAGCTCTGGGCTCCTGGCTTCGGGTTGGCTCAGCTCCAGCCAGTGAAGCTAAGTGGGGTGTAAATCAGTAGATGGGAGATCTTCCTTTCTGTCTCTCTTCTTCTCTGTATATATATGCTTTC